ACCGGCCCAGGGGTGGGGTGACTGGCAGGTAGGGCGGGGCGGGTCGGATTGCCTGGTGCCCCTCGCCCCCGCCCCCTGCACTCGGTGACTGGCAGGGAGGGCGTGGCGGGGCGGATTGCCTGGTGCCCCCCCCCCCCGCCGCCTCCTGCACGCGGTGCAGCGCCATGAGTCGGAGAGACGCTGTTGTGATCCTCTCCGCAGCGCGAACCCCAATAGGTAACACAGAGAGAGCAGCGCCACAGCCCGACAGCGGGGGGGGACCCCCGGACACTGGGGGGACCCCCGGACACTGGGGACCCCGGACACTGGGGACCCCCGGACACTGGTGCGTTGACCCCCGGACACTGGGGACCCCCGGACACTGGGGGGTTGAACCCCGGACACTGGGGTGTTGACCCCCGGACACTGGGGGGTTGACCCCCGGGCACTGGGGGGTTGACCCCCGGACACTGGGGGAGACCCCCGGACACTGGGGACCCCCGGACACTGTGGACCCCCGGACACTGGGGCGTTGACCCCCGGACCCCGGGGGGGTTGACCCCCGGACACTGGGGGGTTGACCCCCGGACACTGGGAGGTTGACCCCCGGACACTGGGGGGTTGACCCCCGGACACTGGGGGGTTGACCCCCGGACACTGGGGACCCCCGGACACTGGGAGTGACCCCCGGACACTGGGGACCCCCGGACACTGGGGACCCCCGGACACTGGGGGAAACCCCCGGACACTGGGGGAAACCCCCGGACACTGGGGGTGTGTGTGTGTGTGTGTGTGGAGGCGCTGCTCTGGAGGCGGATTTCCTGCAAACAGCTGAAGGATAATTGAAGCTGTTTGTGCCTTCACCATCACTATTACCATCACCACAGCGCCCCCCCCCCCCAGCCCCCTGCCCCCTCCTGAACCCCCTGCCCCCCCCAGCCCCTGCTCCCCCCCTGCCCCTTCCCTGCAGCCCCCCAGCCCCCTGCCCCCCCCCCTGCCCCTCCCTGCCCCTGCCCCCCCCCCCACCAGCCCCTGCCGGGGAGATAGGTTGAGGGATTTGGGAAATAATAATAATAAATAATAATAATAATAATAGGGCAAAAGGTGCTGTTAAGGGTGGCTGGGGGTGGGGAAAGGGGGGCTGTGGCTGAAGTTGGCAGTCAGTGTTGTGAAGATGGAAGAACGTCAACTTGATAAGCCCCCAGATGAAAGGTTGAAGATGAGGTTTGAATAAATGGTTGATTTGATATTCTGTACTGTCTCCGTGAGCTGACGTGAGCCAATGCCTGAAGTGCGGAGATGCTGACGGGAGCCAAGCAGGAAAGCCTTTGTCTTGTCAACATTAAAAACATAAGAAATAGGAGCAGGAGTAGGCCATTCGGCCCCTCAAGCCTGCCCCGCCATTTAATAAGACCATGGCTGATCTTCTAACCTAATTCCAGTTACCCGCCCTATCCCCATATCCCTTAATCCCTTTAGTTTTTAAAAATCAATCTCAGTCTTGAATATGTTCAATGACATCCTGATGGAAGAGCTCCCTCTTTCACCAATACTGGTGCCAGTGGTCCACAAAATAAGGCATTATACAAATGCAAGTTCTTCCTTTTCTCCAGCCAGATCTTGTTGCATGTGGAGTCCCAGTACACAGCAAGTACACTTAGCTAAAACCTGCTTCTTTTAATCACAGGCTCCACATGTGGTTCCAATGCGAGTTGGGGTCAAAGTAGGAGACATGTCCCTTCAGGATACCATTCTGTGTGATGGCCTAATGGACGCCTTTTATAACTACCACATGGGTGTAACAGGTAAGAACTGTCACTGAATAAATACAAGGTTTGCATTTAAGTACTGGAAATTAATTGCATTTCCCTCTGTTTTCTAACCTCTCTGAGGATCTGTGGTGTTTAGTTCTAAGGCTACCAGCTGCCCTCCAGTATCTCATTAAAGTGGCCGTACTTCATGTGTGAATCCGAGTGGTAAAGGGTCACTGGGCTGTTTGACCATGAGAGGAGATGGAATATCACAGACAAGTCTCTTCCTGTCCACACACAAGCACCTTCCAGCCAGGACCATTGAATGTGATAAGAAGTGGGAACACTGGCTGTATTTTTCCTCCTACTTATACAAACTAATTGTAACATCCCATCTGCTGCCAAGCTGAGACCAGGTAACCTGGCACAAATCTGGGTCTTCCAAGTCTCAGTTCAACGCCAGGCAGTGCCTTTGTCAACCAAGTGCTCAAAGAGAGCAGCTTGGGAATGGAGCAATCTATATGCAGGGTTTGATAAATTTATAAGATAGTATTGTTCTGATTAAAAATGGGGGGCGTTATTTGAATAGAAAATGTTCTTTTTGTTTCTATTTAATCATGTATTGTAACCATTTCTTAAAATTAGATACTGAAATAATGGGCAAAATGTGTTTGAGCTCAGATTGCAATCCAAAGTGCCTGTTCCCAGCCTCCAAGACACAGTCGTGTATTAACTACCTCAGCTGTGGAGGTGCTCATCGATGATTGGAAAAATGTGAACAAATTTACTGGAACAAACCTGAATCCTTTCTGAAGTTCAAAATATGGAGGAGGTTAATTCTGTTCTGAACTGTAAAGGGAACATGACTGTTGACTAAAGATGCTCCTACAAAATACACAGTCACTACACACTTCATAGTTGTGAAGCACTTTAAACATCCTCGCGAATAGAAACATACTATTCTTGGTGGAGACCCAGGCATCCTACATGGCTCAGCCAACTTAAGACCAAAAGATTCTGTGGTTGAATTCCTTGGAAGCTCAAGCTTTTAACCTTTTTAGAGCAACAATATATCTTTAAAATTATCCTCTGTGGTGACAGATAAGCAAAGTCACCCGAGGGCAGTACTTTTACACTGTGATGACTGGCCTAACAGAAGCCAGGAAGGTGTGTGTTATCCTAAAACCACCTTGGAGGGTGTGAATGTGTGAACCAAAGCTGTGCAAGCTCATAGAACGGACGTAGATGTAAAGTAGCATGTTACTTGATAGCCATCATTATGTATAGCTACGGTCTCTTGGCCATGCACATATTTATATAAAGGTTTGAAGCTACAGAACGTTTCCCGAATTACTTTTCTCGTCCTCTCGATGCAGCTGAGAACGTGGCGATGCAGTGGCATGTGAGTCGAGAGGAGCAGGACAAGTTTGCTGTACAGTCCCAGAACCGAACTGAGGCAGCACAGAAAGCTGGCTATTTTGAAAAAGAAATTGTTCCTGTCTCCGTCCCTTCCAGGAGAGGTATGTGCTGTACTCCTAGGAGGAGAGATTTTGAGACTGACTGGTTCATCTGCACGAGCGCGTGTGAGTGCGTGTAGGAGAAGGTTTCAGAAAGTTGCATATTCTAAGCTTTTTCAAGCCTCAAAAACAAATGTCATAGAGGGGACCTCTATAGAGGTATATAAGATGCTGAATGAGATTGAGAAAGTAAACCTACAATAATATATTCAGATATACCAAGCCAGCAGAAAACAAGGTACAGGTTCAGAGTTGTAAAGGACATTATTTAGGACACACAACAAGAAGTGTTTCTTTACACGTTGCTGCAACTGCAGTAGATTACCAGGAGGGATGGCAGAAGCTAGGTTGCTGGACACTTTTTAAAAAAAAACTATGCGGTAATGAGAGATGATAGCATGGATATTCTGGAAGGCTCAGATTGAATAGGCCGAAAGGTTTTATTTATCCAAACCTCTTTTGTGATCTTATGTCATCCAGTCTGCCCTAAACCCTATGGGCTTGCAAGAGGTCTTCCAAACTATTTGGCACTCAACCAGACAGAGGCCAACATTATTCACTTCGACTAACATATGTGCCACACTTGTTTTTAAATGTATAACACTTATAATGAAATTAAAATTTTATTTGGTACTATTGTGTAGCCTCGAAGTGCTACATTTTAATTAGGAGCCTTAATAATCTAACATCATCCTCTCTCTCTCTCTCTCTCTCTCTTCAGGGCCTATCGAGGTGTCAACCGATGAGTTTCCCCGTCACGGAAGCACCTTCGAAGCCATGTCTAAACTAAAGCCGGCTTTTGCAAAGGGCGTATCTGGCACTGTCACTGCTGCTAATGCTTCAGGTCAGCAGAAAGAATCACTTTTGTAATTTGCTTATAAAGTCGTTGAAAAGAAGGCAGTAACTTTACTGACAACACACTCTGTTTGCTGTTCTGCAGGAATAAATGACGGGGCCGCAGCTGTGATTCTGATGAAGAAATCAGAAGCTGACAAGAAATGCCTGAAACCTTTGGCTCAGATTGTATCCTGGGCCGAGGCTGGTTTGGATCCTGCCATTATGGGAGTCGGGCCTATAGCAGCAATAAGGAAGGCCGTAAGTAATACAAGAATATTGTTAATACTTATACCTCTTCACAGCATAGAGCCTTAACCAGACTCAGACATGTTCATTTATTAGCACAACTCTACTTTTATATGGTGTTTCCTGTTTTGGGAATGGGCTATCCTGCAAGTGAGAGAATTGGCAGCTATTCTGCCCCCAGGACTCTGCTATTGTTTTTTAAGCACCTGCAGGAGACTGGGGTCATGGCTCAACTCCAGGTATCTCCCTTTCCCATTTGGAAAAGGTCTGCTCGGTCACTCCTCACATGGCTGATATCATTGACTGAGGAGCGGTCAAATTTTGTCCCCCCTGAAGTAGGGTCAAGCAGATTGTTTTCTTTTCAACCAATGATTCACCCGCAGTGCATTCCATCGTCTTCAGATTCGAGGGTAATGACTTAGATTTACTATTTATTCTAGGTAGAAAAAGCCGGCTGGACGCTGGATGAAGTTGATCTCTTCGAAATCAATGAAGCTTTTGCATCACAGTCTGTAGCTGTTGTCAAGGAACTGGGTATAAACCCAGAGAAGGTGAGAAATGTAGATATAAAAATTGGCACTACAACTAAATGCAATTGATCCTTTTTACTTCCTGATTCACCCAATGGGTCAATGTGGGATGTAATAAAACAACAAATTGCATTTATAAAGCGCCTTTCATGTCGGGAGGATGCATTGACATTGAGCAGAATTGTGTCTTGACCGTCCTTAGCTGTCAGAACTGAAAAGTGATGGAAAAAACCTTGATTATTTTTTCAATCAAAATGTGATCATACCAGGTACGACCAACTTCATGCAAGTCTTAGAATCATATGTAAAAAAGATAAAGGATGCACTGAAGCACAAGGCTCTAATTCCCATGCACTAATGGTTCCAAAAATAACCTGGCCTAATAGTGCCATATAACGCTTGGTTGCAAAATATATATTTTATATTTCCAGTGACATGCTAACTTCCACCACCATGTTAATATGCTAATTAGCTTTCACTGCTCTTCTCTGTCTAAAATATATATTTTTATCTGACTCCAGAAATAAACAGAATCCAGAGTATTGTTCATTTTAGAATTCAATGTTTGATCTGCTATTCAGATTGGTAAACTGGCTTCAAGAACTCTTTGATCACAGACAATAAAAGTCTTTTCTTGATGAAATTATGTTATTAATTTTTTTCTCTCTTCCCCCCCACACCACTCACCACCCTTTGCAGAGGGAGGAAAGCAGGGTCTACTTGAAACTGAGCTGGCTCTAGGGTGACATGCTTAGGAATGCAGTGCTGAAATTGATACAACCTATTTTATTTTTGGTCAGAATGAGTGTCTGACACATGTGGAATCACACCACCATGAGTATGCAAAACAGACTGGGAATTTTAAAATAGGTTTCCTCGTGCTTGTATCAGAATCAGCAAGAATTTAATACTGATTCAAAGCTGAATTCCACTTTAAATGTGGTGGCACTAAAGTTGGTACTACATCCCAGGAGGGCGAACAATAATAATAATTCTTGCATTTGATATAGTGTTTTCACGTCTGGAGGACATCCCAAAGCTCTTCACAGAACACACTGTAAAGTGAATTGACTGTATATTTGTGGGCGAACGTGGCAGCCAATTGCGCACAGCAATGTCCCACAAACAGTTGTAGATTGAAAATGACCAATTTTTATTATTGTTTTTGGTTTTGGAGGGATTATTATTAGGCGTGTGGAATAAGGAAACTTGCCCAAGGTTTCGCCCTGCCTGGAATTGAACTCAGGTCTCTCACTTGCAAAGCGAGTGCTCTAACCACTGAACTACAGGACTCCACAAACCTAGGGCTTTACTCCTAAATATTCTCTAGCCATCCTGATGGAAACATGCCTTTGGGATGGGCCAAATTGAATGTGGCTGATGTGCTCACCAACCAATGCTTGTTTTCCATGCGAAAACATGGTCAGTTTGGGGCGAAAATTACAGATGGCTATGCAACAATAGTAGTGGTTAAGTCAGGGTCTTCAGAAGAATAGAACATTTGGAAGAATAAAGAACACACAATGGATTTCTACTGGGCATCAGAAATAATTGTTTCTCTTTAGCTGTCCCCGCTGAAGTACAAATATTGTTTTTATCTCCTCTGAATCAATCTCTTCAATTGCATCAAGATTATTAACACAATTATTAGCCTGAATCCAGTGTTTGGAATCAACGTTTTTCTTTCAGTAATGAGGTTAATAGTGTTTTGCCAATTGCACAAAAGCTAAGATGAACAACAACAACAACAATAAGATTACATCTGTATAGTGCCTTTCATGTTGGGAGGATGCCCAAGAGAACAAAACCGTGGTGGACTGATTAATTATTTTCTCATTGTGGAAACAAATAAACCTGAAATTATTCTCTTTTTTTTCTTTTATTATGTTCTTACCTGGAGTCAATATTTTTCACACAAACCTTTTAATCCAGCACTATAAAATTAAGTGATATCTCCTTGGAGCTAAAATGACATGCTTAGAAATGGAATGTTGGAATCGAGTCAATTCTCTGAGACAGTCTTGGTAATCCAGTTCCTAAACCAGGTAGCTACAAATACAATACAAAATTACATTAGTATAGCGCCTTTCATGTTGGGTGGATGTCCCAAGGTGCTGGGATATCCAAGCAAAGCAATATCCAAGGTTCTGCTGATGAGAGACCACCCAACGTTCTCAATGGCAAGTTATCCAGCTGTAACTCAACATGTAATCTGGGGCTCCAAGCCTTGGCTCTTGCCAAACTGTGTTTAATATTCTGGGGAATGAGATAAAATGGATATGTCCCTTTAGGGAGAGAGTGCACATTTCATTCCAGATACAAGGATATTTCTATGTATAGATGGCATTTATGTGGAATTCTCAGTCTAGTTTGATGATACTCCTAAGCTTAGCGATGGGTTGATGCATGAGTTAGACACCTTCCCCACCTCTCTCAGCTCCCACTCCCAGCTCGGATGCCAAAGTCAGTATTGTTAAGCATCTTGGGACATCCTCCAAAATATGCTATGTAAATGTAAGTTTTTTTATTGTATAACACCACACTGATTAGACCCAAGGTCACAATTATATATTTGATAATAATCAATCTGAAAATTACACACAAAAAGGGTTGAGTTGTTCAGTGTTTTGATGCCTCCCTGAATATTTGAGTTTTGCAGTAGGGGCAGGAAAGGTTTAATTTCAACTCTGTATAATAAAAGCAACCCAATGATGGGTACTTTGCCAAGCCAGGAGGTAGTTCTTTCCTGTCTGGGAGATTCATTAGAAAGAACATAAAACAAGCTATTTTTTTTGACTCTGGAATTGTCACTCACTCTCAGTCAGAAAAAATTATAAGCAATTACTTTTGTACTACTTATGGGAGGGAAAGTATTTTCAATCAAATACACCTCTCTCAAAGAATCCCTCAGAATATTGTTCTTTTAGTATTAACTGTGATGTTTTGTGTGCCTCATTTATCAATGAGAGTTCATAAGATATCTGATGTCTCTATTTCTTTGGCAATTTAAGTGGGTCAGAGGCATCTATTTTCTTGACTGCCTGGGGGGGAATGAGGGGGAAGAAATAGCAAGGGAGAGAAGAGAGAGAAAGGTTTCCTTGGCAGTTCATGAGCAATGTCTGTCTGAAGCATCTAATTTGTCTGCCATTTGAAGGTGTTTCTTCGGTTTTTAAAAGCTGTGTGTCAGAGACATTTATATTCATGGTATTTTAGAAAGTTTTCCCCTTCCTGGTTTTCCTTTCACACTGGCAAAGACTAATGTTTGAGTGTGGGTTGGAGAGACTTTAGATTTTGACTCTGATATTTTACTGAGTTTTGGAGAGTGGATGAGGGAAGGAATCTAACTGCAAATATTAAACACACAATTCAGTCATTTTAAACCAAGCAATTATTTACTAACAAATATTTGAAATAAATGTTAAAAATCCTCAGATGAAAAGCTAACTGGAGATCACCAACAACAACGTGCACTTCTATAGCGCCCTTCATGCAGGGATGCATCTCAGAACGCTTAACAGTGGTGGAGCTTGACTCCAAGCTGGCGGAGTGTGTGTGTGGGGGGTGGGAGGGGCTGTGGAGAGTTTGACCTAAGCACAGTCGAAGAAGAAGGTTTTCAGACGGGACTTGAAAAAGAGGAGTGAGGCGGCATGGCAGAGGAATTGAGGGAGAGTATTCCAAAGTTCCAGATCAAAGCAAGCTCTAGGTTAATTATTGTAACCCACAAAAGATATATAAAATCTTGAAAGAACAATAATGTATTGCAAGCCAAAAAAGCCAAAGTTAATTTTTTTATTTTAAATGAACAGTAATTTGCATTTATATACCGCCCTTCAAGCGGGGTGACATTTCAGAGCTCTTATAAAACAATAATATTGAGTATACAGCTAACTTGGTCATTCATACGAGTGTTTCTCGAACCTTACAGCATGACACTTTCCCTACAAAAAAATGTCACTATACTTAATAGAAATCACTGTTAACTGAGTTGAGCTGGTTAAGTAAGACTATTTTATTTCATAAAACAGTTTTAAGACAAGATAGAGTAAGAAAAATCGTCAATATCTTGAACTCAGAGCATTCACAAGAGAACTTTTCCAACCTTTGTTGATGTTGAATGTTCTTGGCATTAAACAGTACTTGTACACAATAACACACTGCCGCTTGTGGCACAGTGGCTATGTAATCCATTCAACATTCAACAGCAACAGAAATGATTGTGATTATCAGTCTGCCTCAGGAATTTTTTGTTCCATGTTAAAGTAAATGTTACAATAGCAGTCATGTGCCCACGAAAATAGTCATTACAGTTATGACTTGCAATACACTTTGAGATGTTTCAGTGTGATAAGGCATTACAAAAAATGCTAATTTGTTCTTTCTTAATTAACTTGTAACTGAATCAAAATCAAATCAAATTGGGAAATTTAAGTTCATTCAATAAGGAAACTGATAATTTAATGAGGAAACCATTCAACCATGTATATTGGTGTAAAACCGAATAATAAAGTAACATAAGAGACTATATATCAAAAATAAAGTAGGTTTGATTACCAGTTAAGCTGATATACAATGTACAGTTAATGCCTAATAACTCAACCCTGGCTTAACTTATCACACACTACCATTTAAGTCATCATGCCGTCAATATTCTGGCCACAATTGTTTATGTATTTATACATATGCCTAACTTACCGGTCTGGATAACTCATTACTGAGCCATTGTCCCTTGTAGTGATGAGTTATCAGGAGTTTATTCTGGTTTGATTCAGCAAAGGGAAGATTGGTTGGTTATGTCTAAGCCACGAACTTCAGCTAGGTGTATTACTTTTGATCAAACTGATTGTTTCATACTATGTGATCTCTCTGCTGCTTTCAACACCGTCGACCACTCTATCCTCATCCACCTCAACCTCCACGGCGTTGTCCTTGACTGGTTCAGATCGTACCTCTCAAACCGCCTGCATCTCATCTCCGCAAACGGCTTCTCCTCTAGTCTCCGGACCATCTTGTGTGGCATTCCTCAGGGCTCTGTCCTTGGTCCCCTCCCCTTCAATATCTATATGCTTCCTCTTATGACATCATCCGCAGACATGGGGTCAACTTCCACATGTATCCGGATGACACCCAACTCTACCTCTCT